GGGTAATATTACATTCACAATACTTTCATTTTAATTTTCACTTAATGTCAGTCATAATATATTTTAAAGATGTCTACAATATTTGTAATATAGAAGATGTAAAATGATTCCATGGAAAGTACCTTACAGTGTGTACAAGGATGACGAGGTCATTGAATCAGTTTCTGAGTCTCAACTAAGTTGCCTGCAATGATCTTTAATGTCCAGCAGGTGTCAGTGTGGAGCAAAGCAGCAACACTGTGTCGATACAGTTTGGAAATGTGCTGAAACGCCTCACGAGGCCTCATCTACCCATCACTACCGAGTATATATATACTGATTATCAATGAGCGATACCTGGTGGCACGTGACGAAGTGTCAAGAGCGCCGACACCTTTCCGTGTGCGTGCCCACCGGTACTGCCGCGCCGTATGAAATCAGCTGATTTCTGAACGGAAGTACTACGCCGCTGATTCCCGCCACAAATTCCAAAACCGGAAGTAAGGCGGCGGATCAACGAGACGTTTCGAAAACAAGTAAAGAGGAACAGCGCGAGCCCTGAAAACGCACCTGAGGCTCTCGAGGTCGGTCTGAAGGTAATCCGTAACGGGTTAGCAGCTCCACTTCCGGGTTTCTTCTTCTACGTTCTACGACTGAGCGCTGCCGCCTCCTACTGGACATTGACTGTCACAACAACAACACTAGAAAAAGTTGCATTTCCTGCGAAAATGCAGCGTGAATGCCGTGTGGTGGAATCTGAAAACAGCAGAAGGAGAGCTGTCTGCTGAAAACAGGTGTAGAAGCTGAACTCTGCTTTATTTGAAAGACTACACTGAAGAGTGTCAAGAAAGCAGCTCACATGCAAGCAGGGAAGATGTGCAGCATCTGTCCCACGTAGTACTCGAACCCTTGCCACCAGATCTCACAGCAGCTGCGTACCCCACTGCGCCAAACCAGTTCTGGTCAAAGATATGATGAGAGGGGAAAAAAAACGTTCACTGTGCAGAAGAAGCTAAATTGTGCTGAAAAGAGGTGAAAAGGCTGAAAATTGTACTGAAAAGAGGTGAATCAGCAGACTTTCTGCTGAAAAGAGGAAAAGAAGCTGAAGTTTGTGCTAAAAACAGCTTAAGAAGCTGGAATTTGTGCTGAAAAGTAGTGAAAAACTGAAAGTTTTGCTAAAAAGAGATGAAAAAGCTGAAATTTGTGTGGAAAAGAGTTTAAACAGTTGAAGTGTTAACTGAAGAAAATGTTGCCATAAGTGGGATTTGAACCCGCGCCTCCTGGTCTGAGAACGGCTGCTCATCTCACTGAGCTAAAACCTAGCTCAGCCTGGTAAGCAACACTGGGACCAAAAAATGGCATAAAAAGCTGAAGATCTCAAAAAGTATAAAAGTTATCATCACCAAAAGATATAGCAGTGGAAAGCAGAAATAGCAGAACAGTTTAAAGTTTGAATGGTGAAAATCGGGTGAAAACTGAGGGAGTAGTTAAGCGGCAAAGAAACGGAGCAACTAGAATAATAAAGGATAAAGAATAAAGAGAAACAGGAACTCAATAGTGTGCCTTTGAGGCATCCACACAAATACATCACTAAAGCCTACTACTACCTACTGGCGTGGCACGGTGTTCAGGGTTTTGCATTAGGTCATAGTA